GAAATGTTTTCCTATTTCTGGAGGGTATTCATAAATTATATGCCTGTGAGACCACCATGCACAGTGGGCCTTCCTCGGAGTATGCTGCAGATTCAGGGTGTCCCCTACCCTGGCTCTCTCCATTTGAATTTGAATGTGATGGACGTGTTGCTGGGGAAACACAAGAGCCTCTCATCCCCAACTCTCTGGTTTAGCAGGACATGAAGAGAAGAGCCCTGATCTTAGGCCCACAATAAAGTTTGCTTTGCCAACGGGGAGAAAAATGAACACACCGAAACACTTCTAATGTCTCTTAAATTAAAGATACTCTATTCTGATTCATTTAGAGAGATAAGTACTTACATAAATAGAATATTCCTAAAGTTCCCAGATAATAAGAAAATTTATCTTATACTATTTTAAATATGCTGCACTAAAAAAAATTCTTCTTATAATTTTAAGAATAAAGTTCACATAGTTAAGGTAAATCTCTGGCAAATGAGACTAGCTTAATTATTTTGGTTAATAAGCAAACCCAGCCATGTTCTTTCTCTTATCAGTGTTAAGTAGGAAAATACATTTTATTTTGCTTGGGTTTGTTTTTTCCTAAAATTATATAGGTTACTCATCAAAGAGTCTAACGCTATTCTTATATAATACTTAAGACTGTGAAAAATCTAAAATTTGGTTCAATGAAATAGAATCATTATTCTGACAAACTTTTAATTTCAATAGTAATTATGTTTGTAGAATGTCAGCTTGAAAATAATTTTCAAGATTTTTAAGTAATTTAAAATCTTGAACAGTTATTAAATTGATTAATTAATGAATAATCATGAGATACCTTGATTTCTAAGTACAATAGGGTACTCGATCACTGCTTACTAAGCATGGCTTTTAGTTAATACATTATACTTTGCTTCTTATTTTAATATGCCATAGAGACGATATATCTTTGGGTCGTGTTGATGAGTATGTTTTCATTTTTGCTACATTAACAAGGTACAAAGGGGATGTGTGTGGCTGTACAAAGTTGTATTCTGTGTTTATGAACTTTGCTAGTCCGCTAAAATGCTTACATATGATTTGTCAGTGATTGATGCTCCCTAATTTTTTCTGTGAAATAGAAATTAGTGATTTTCTTAAACATTATAATAAATATGGGTGGTTGCAATTATGTTAGAAGTAATCATGACAGACAAGTAAACTATGCATATTCTTTCACTTTTCAGGAAAAAAAATATTAAAAAAAAAGTCCAATACTCAAAATACTTGGTCTCAGGACCCTTTACATGCTCTTAAATTAAAATCCATTAAGGATCCCTAGAGCTTTTGTTATGTGGGTTATGTCTATCGATATTTACTGTATTAGAAATTAAAACTAAGAAGTTAAGAATATTTATTTGTTGGTTCATTTGTAAACAGCAGTGATGAAGCTATTTCACGTTAACATAAGTAACTTATTGTTTATACATTGTTTTATAATTTTAAAAATCTCTTTAATGTTCAGCTTAACAGAAGTCAGGTGGATTCTCTTATTTGCTTCCGTATTCAGTCTGATGAGATATTATAGATCATACAGTCACTGGAAAAACTCACTATACAGTCATGAGAGAAGGAAAATAAAAAAGTCAAATAAAGTCTTAGTTTTATTATGAGAATAGATTTAACCTTGCAGACCTACTTAAAGAGTCTCCAGGACCCTCTTTGGTCTGGAGACCACTCTTAGTTCTAAAGTAAAGTGTCAGTTTGTTCCAACATATAAAAAAAGCATAATAAAGGACAAAACTCTGAAAATGACTTTGATTTGCCTTGGTTTAATTACCTGTGTTTGAAATGAAGCTGAGAAATATATTAAAATTTTAGTAAGTTCACTCAGTTTTGATGAGCTTACTTCTTTGCTTTACTGATTAATGCTTTCCCTATGATATGTAAGGTTATTCTTTTTGTGTAATATGCCTTTTTGTTTATTTTGTCTTTGATTATTTAAGGAAATGAAAAAGTATAGAACAAAGGTTCCTAATTTATGAATGAGCCAATATTATTTATGATCATGTTACCTTCTATGCTTGTTTTCCAATATTTTATTGTTGCTTTGAAAAATTAGGTAACCAAGTATGTTTCTTAGGTAGCTATGATCCTATCTTAATCAGGTGCCCAATTTTTTTTTTTTTGACAACTCTTTTTTGCCTTCTAAAGATCAGATCTAAATTTAGGAAAAAAAAATTTTTTCAGAATATCTTCAACGCCTAAGACTATGTTTGAAACTTCCTAGAGGGCCCCTAGAAAGTCACGAAGATTTGTTCTTTCATCTTCTAAAAAGAGAAATTAGAAATAGTTAGGTTTGTTTGATATGTTACCGTTACAGGAGTTTCAGAGGAAGGGAGTTACTGTTACATCTGAGAAGAAAGGCTCACTGTGCTCTAGGTTAGGTTTATGCAGGTAAAATGTCATTAATATAATGTTTCAGAAATTGTATGCTTTATGGGAAGTGTCTGGAGATTTGACAATGCCCTTGTTGTTCATAATATGCTTTCACCCTCAGGGGAAACACTGACCAAAACTTTTATGAAATAGTTACCTACTGTATACCAACAGAGAATCTTACTTATCTTCTAATATTATTGGTTACAGTAATAAATTAAGCACAGCTATTAAATATCTACTAGCTAAGGAAAGCCTCTGTTTTACTTTGATGCTGGCCTGAAGGCTCTGCTATATAAGCTACAGTAAATAGTTTGTGTCTGCAACAAAGACAGACTCAGAGCACTAGGGAAAAGGACAATCATAGGTATTTTGAACTATTGATGCTTCAAAGAATAGTCTCTAGGGTACAGGCTGCTGAGGTGATATAGCTTAGATAACTTTTGTACAGTACCAGTGGACTGAGTCAGGAATCCCAGGACTCTTTAGAATGAAAACAGATGGTTTCAAGAAAGCAGACTGCTAACCCAAGATCTAGCAGAACAAGAAAACCATGGGACTAAATGAAATGTTAAGGGAAATAAAAAATATTTTAACAAATTATTTATTTGTTTGGAATATTGTTCATTAGTTTTAATATTCTATTGCTATATGGCTGTAGATGTGTAAACCAAACTCAAGGAGACCTATATGGTTAATTAATACTTTTGTTGCTAAATAATCAGGGCAAACCTATGAGACCAGTCCTTTTCTGTGATCAGTAATGATCTTTGTGATTATTTTGATCATATGGGGTGGGGGAGACACTGTTAGGAAAAATTAAGAGACCTTGAAATAGGAAGAAACAATTATTTGATGTCCAGTCTAGCGTATCCTTATCGATTATCTACACGTTTCATTGTCTTTGAGCTATTTTACAATTCTGTAGGTGGTGGAAAATTTATAGTAATGCACACAATTCTTTAGTTTTTAGGGCAGAAAGCAAATACTGTTTACCTGAAACTTTTGGTGTTTTATAAAAATGAAAACTCTTTGCAAAGGCTATGTGAAACAGGAGGAGGTGGGGGTGGGGAGAGATTTTGAGGGAAGCAACTATGGAAGAGTCATTTCTCCTTGGCTGAGAAGAAGATAGAGGTCTGTGGGTCCCACAAGCAGCAGGGGCCCCTTTCCTCTGCCCTAAGACTCCCAGTCTCCCCATAATCCCAGTGCTATTAGCATGGCCCAAAAGAACAAAGATCTGAGATCTAATGGCATGACAAGGACACTCTAGATGTGTCCAGTGAAGACTGGTGATCAGATGTGTCTCCCTGATGCTCTGTTGCCTCTTAAGCCCCTCCCAGTTCTTTGGCATAATTTTTGGAGGCAATTAGTCCTATAGTGGCTTAAACAAAATTTCCTGCCAGTTCTGTAGCATAGGTACTCACAGTAGAATTTAAGTTGAATCACATAAATAAATTTCTTGTGTACCTGAGTTTCTGCACTTAAAATTCATGTGTGCTACATAATGCTTCTGGATCTTTCCTTGACTAACTTCCCTGTCTTTTCAGTGACTGGTTTTCAGGCTCTGCCCTTGGGCTGAAGCAGATGTTCTCTCTCTTACACTTTTCTTTCTTTCTGCTACTGAGGTACACTGGAATTCTTTTGGGGACTAGAATTTGCAGGCTGGCAGGAGTTTGCTGCATTGATGCTTTCTCTCTTTCTTCCTGGTTCTTCTTTCATATGATTCCCCCTCAAGGAGTTAAGAAGGACAACTATTAGCTCCTATGGAATACTCTGGGATGCCCAGTTCCTAAAAATCTCCTTCCTAGTAAATTAAAGGTTTAGTGTAAGTATCTTACCACACAGAGAGTAAAAAAAGAAAACCAATATGCTTTACTATATTGGCTGTTGACCTGTGAGCAAATCCCTGGGATAAATGACATCTTTGTTAGCACTAATAAAGAAGGTTAAGGTCCAGAAGTATTCTGTTCTTACCATAATTGAGCCACAATTGCCAAGCCTATGTAAGCTATAAGCTTGTTGCCTCTTCAGAAGTACTGGAAAAGCAAACTTCTGGTCTGCCAAATAGGTACTGTCCCATAATTAAGTTCATTAGCAACCAAGATAAGTTTTATATGAAATACTCCCTGGAAATAAGAAATTTAAAATTTAAGTACTCTTAACTTCAGGGTTTGCCCTCATGATGCTCAGAGCACATCAGGCAGTTTGATGGTAATGATAACAGACATGTTGCAAATTATTTCTTATAGCTTTGCTACAATGCAGACCTCAGCCTAGCCTTTGTGATCTTGGGAGAGGACTGCAGCAATCTGCTCTACCCAGGGCTCAAGACCTCTAGGAGACTTTGAGGGAAGACTGACCCAGCAATCTGTCTGCTATGAAGAGAATACCTATCTACATTTTAACACCTTCACTCCTGGAGTTAATTTGAGATGGTAAGCTCTCTGACTTATCTGCACTGCATACCTTTTAGAATGCCCAGAAATTTCTGAAGCCCTGTGGATTTTCAGCTTTGTGGGAGTCTGGTTATGGATAACAGATGACTACCACACCACTGTTAATCAACTGCATACTTCATGAACCTCATTTTTTCATACCTTTTCCCCCATGGACACACCCCCTGATGTGATGATGACATCAGCACGACTGATACCCTCATTCAAGGCATTGAGTAAGTCATCTGGGCTGGAAAAAAAATAAAGACAAATAAATTAACACACAAGGAAAAGATTTTAAATATAGTGCCAACTAAAAACTAGACCACCTATTCAACGAGTAGGCATTACCATGAGTACAGCACAAAAGTCTGTATGAAGTGGGAATCAAAAAGGTCTCTGCACAGTAAAAGCATAATTCATTGTGGAGAAAGAAACTTGTAAGTGTGGAAATAGTAGTTACTGGTACTTTCACAGGCTTTTTACTCAACAAGGCAGTATAATGAGGGGAGACAGTGAGGTGTGGATAGGCTGCCTAACCATCCCAGTTTGCCTAGGAATATCCCAGATGTAGTGCTGAAAGTTACATTTCCTAGGAAATTTCAGGCACACCAGGACAGTTGATCGCCCTAGGTGTTGGAGACTTAGGACTCTTTAGAGGGAATATGACTTAATTTAGTTAGGCCTTGAGAAATGGGCTGAATTTTTACAGGTGGGAAGGAATGGGAAAGGGCCTTGTAAGCAAGAGGATCGGACTGTGATGAAGCCTGTGGTGTTCTCGATGAATGGGGAAAATGAACTGCTTGAGTGAGGGATCTGACTTGGAACGTCTGGGATAGGTAGTGTAGGGCATGATTTTGGAGGGCTCTCAAGGTCAAGAATTTGAACTTCATCTAATGGGAAAAGGGTGGGGGGGGGGTCCCTAAAAATATAAAGAGCCAGTAGGTGTTTATTGGGAAAAGGGTAGAGAAAAAAAGAACAAGGGAGGCAGAGACAGTATGAGATATTTTGAGAGGATAAAGGGACAGGGTGAATGTTAGGGATTGAAATTAGTGAGATTCCTGACAGTCAACTGAAAAGACAAGTGCACCAGGCCCTCTGATTGTACAGATGGAAGGCCTGGAAGGAAGGATGGCGTGAAATCAACAGTCTTATCCTATTGATGTTAGAAGGGTTGCAAAGGCCTAACCTGAGATTAATCAAGTGAGAAAAAAACAAAATGCCAACCATCAGGGTTTCTGGAGAGATAGGATATCAGGCAATAGCTGAAAGGGACTGTTTAGTCACAATTTTAAATGCATACAAAGCTACTGGGCAATGTGCACTGCACTTGCATTTACCTTCAAATGATGGAGAGTACAGAAAAGGTGCCTTTTGAGGAATATTTGTTCAGCCTAAACCCTTGTTTTCTAAGAACTTTTTACCCTGTGGAGAAGGGAGGTATTTCCCTTTCTCCTCCATAGACATCTAACATGTACATTTAAAAAGGGAACAATCCTGGCTTCTGATGCTCTAGTTCTTGTTTTTAGTCCTTCCTGAGGCATATTCTTGGTCTTGTGCTCAAGGAGACAACTCTTCCCATAAATCTTCCCATAAATCCCCCCCTTTGCTTAAACTAGAATCAACAGGTTTTTGTTAACTTGAAATCAAATGATGTTTCAATGGGATAGCATATGTTCTCCCAAATCTCTCATGATAGTGAAGTTTGTTCATATCCTTTTCCCTTGATGCACTATTTCATGGGAGGATGAGGAGGAGGGAGAGGAGATGAAGGAGGAGGAGGAAGAGAGGAAAAGGAGGAGGAGGAGGAGATTTGTAACTAGCACAAATTTTATCCGGGGTGACAGAGGTAAGGAGAGGAACTTGAGATCTACCCGAGAGGCTCTTCAGGAGACAAAGTTGGGAGGTGGCACATTACAGAGATTAAGAGTGTGAACTCTGGAGTCAGACTGCCTGAGTTTAAATCCTGGTGCTACTACCTGCTAGATGTAGAACCTTGGACAAGTTGCTAAACCTTTCTTTGCCTTAGTTTTCCATCTGTAAAGTAGGGATAGTATAGGGTTGTTATGTGGGTTAAGTAACATAATATATATAAGTTTGTGGGATAGTACCTGGTACAAACTGAGTTTATAAGAAAGGTTGGTTGAAAAAAAAAAAAAAAAAAGAAAGGTTGGTTGTTGTTGTTATTACTGTGGTACTGACAAAAGTTATCATACAAACCTAACAACCTGGCAGAGTTCAACTTTAGCATATTTGACTGTTTTTATTTAGGAGAATATCTATGACTAACACAGAAGAAAATCATAGATTGGACCTCAAATACATTCACAGAACTGTATGTGAAAAGCCCAAAGGGCTCAATAAATAAGCTAGGCCTGGTTCCAGCCTGAATAGTTCCATTTACTATTAGGTTCTCTTACTGACTCTAGATAAAATTCTCCTGCTCCTCAAGCACTGGCCTGTCCATGAGTGTACCAGAGGTTGTTTGGCTTTGGTGAGCAAGTTCCCAAGGAGACAACAATAAAAGTTTGAAAAATGGCTCACATGAGGTTCAATCTATAACACAGAGATCCTTTGAAATCATCTAGTTAATTGCTTATGCAGCCAAAAAGATACCCAGGTATTCAATGAAGGTAGGATCTATGTGTAAAACATTAAAAAAAAAAACTTAAAAAAAAATCCCTGACATGAATTTTGAAGCTAATTTGGTTGGGCAAACATCTTGGAAGAATTATATTAAAAAATGGGTGTATTTTTGAACTATGTATTTTGAACAGATTTTTCATCAATCTTTTTCATTTAGCTTTAGGGAAAAAGATAACAAATTATTCTTTTGTACTGAAATACTATAAGATATGTATGTGATGGATTCCTGATCACTGCATGCCCAGCACTCTGGTCCCCTTGCCTTGCTGAATCATTAAGCTGAGCCAAATGGTTGGCCTATGGAGTAAATGGGAAATACATCACAAACACAGGGTGATGTGGGATGTGATTCAGGTGAAGGGACAATGACTATTATCAACACAACATATAATTTTGTGTTAGTATAAGAGACATTTGCTAATTCTACCAATCTTACAATATTTAATTTATAGCTTGTCAACTCTACAGGATTATGGCAAAGTCACTGGAAACAAAGCAGCAGTGACATACACATCAACATCTTTGTAGGTGGGTAAAGTTCCTGGGACAGGCTAGCTGATGGCTGCAAATAAACATACTTTTCAGTGATTTTTTTCCCCCTTATTCCTTGTTTTCATATTATCTGGGAAAGACTTTTTCCTATTTTGTAAAACTGCAGAGTCATCAACTCTTCACATGATATTTTCTAACTTGCAGAAATAAACTAAAAGGAATTTTATATCAAGCAAGTCCTTACTATAATTTATTATGTTTCAAAGAATACACTCAATGCTGCTTTCTTCTCTGTGGCTGATGGATTCACAAAATCACCAAATCTTAAAATTGGAAAGGTCTTTGGGGGTCATTGTGTTCAGTAGCAGAGCTGGGAGCACTCTTTGGGGCTTGCCCTTCTCTATCTCCCTCTGCCCATCTCTTTAACTCTACTTTCAGTTGCATACTTCTGGTGTGTGGGACCTACTAAGAGATCATAGCTTACAGGGACAGGGACCAATGTATGGCAACTGTCAGAGGATTTGTAACTTCACTTATATTGCATGATATAACTCCATTTATTATTTCACAATAAATCTCTGAGGTAGATTGAACAGTATGATTATGCCTATTTTACAGAAAAGGAAAGTGATATTCAGAGAGGCAAAGTAGCATATTAAAGGCTAGGTGGAGCAGTAAGTGGCAGAGCTAGGACTAGAACCTCTGTTTCCTTGTCGAGTGCCTAAGCAGAGTGACTGTCTAGTTTTTTCAGGCATATGATATGTCATACAAGGAAAACTCTCATGAGAATGGACCGTTATGCAAAAGCATAAAACAGAGGATGCTAAGGCAGCAGGAGAAGATCTGTCTGGGATGACAAGAAAAATGCATCTGTGAACACGTTAGTTCTGCGGAATGAAACAAACATAGTTCTGAATCCTATATTCAGATGAAAACTAAATAAGATTTTGATTAAACATAACTTAGGGCTTGCTCACAAGTCATAAATTTGCTCTCTTTTTTTTGTGATTCATATTTTAAATGATGAAATATTTCTCACATAAGATAACAGTATAACACCCATGTATCCATCTCTCAGATTTGACAAATGCTAATATTTTCCCATATTTATTTCATATTCTGTCCCCCCAACCATTTCATTTTTAAGAACTAAAAACTGAGTTTGCTTCTAAGACTAAGAGATTACTCTGAATAATGATAAAAAATAGGTAGCAAGGATTATAATCATGGACATTATAGTAGGATAAAAATCATGATTTTCTCAGTTTTGTTAAATAGAGAGCATAGCATATTAATTTTTGCAACGATAGGAGAGTAAAATGAAAACATAATATGACCTTATATGTCTTATATATGACATTACTTCCTATATATAAGATCAGGTGATATTTAAGAAATAAAATTAATGACAATAACTCTCTTGTTTTAAAAGAACAATACACTGTCACACTTATGTGTTAATTTTACAACTCTATGATGTAGGCAGGGCAAGAGAGGTCAATGAAATTCACAGAGGTAGTGACAGGTTCAAGGTCACCTATGTTCACTCTACTATTCTTTTAAACTACAGTAGTATTCACACTGTGAAAGACACTTTGTTATATACATTGTCAGAAAAGTTATTTATCATTTTTATCTAAGTATGTAAATATTATTTGTGTATGCCAAATAGTGACGATCAAAAACCAATAACTTGTATTTTTTACATTTGAAATATCTTCTCACCATTGCCACTCGAAGGGATGTTCAATTAAGCAGATTAGTAAGTTTTCTAGGTATATACCAGTAGCTTCCCTTTTCTCAAAGAACAGCAGATCTTAAAGGGATATTGTGATATCAGTTAATTCTTTCTTCATTAAAAACTGCAGTTTTAATTAGATTTGAAAGGTGATTAACCATTTCTTTAAAGATAAATCTAATACTAGCATTAATCTTGATTTACTAACACTTTCTATCCATTTTCACTTGAAATAAGTACCTACCCATGGTTCTCTGACAGTACCAATATTATATGAAAACATTCTATAAGAGCATTGATTTAGTGCTAAATGCTAGAAATTTAAGTACTCGGTGACAGAAAACAGAACTGTCAACTGAAGCCTGAGTGTGTCA